CCCCCGCCTCCCCCCCCCCCCCTCCTGCCAGTGGCTTCAGGCGGGTCGGCACACAAGCCCCACCCACCTCCCTGGCCCCCGCGCCGTTCAGCCACCGGTCTCGCCCCGCCCCTCCCTATGTCGTCAGAGGGGGGCGGGGCTGAGTTGTCCGGGGTTGGGGTCCCCGGGGGAGCTGCCAGGCAGGGGTGGGGGAGCCAGGGTTTTGGAAAGAGGGGTTGGGGCGGGGGGTGTCCAGTGAGTCGTCATCACATGTAACAGAATCAGGGATCCTGGTTTTCTTGCTTTCAAAAAAATCCCCAACTTTCAGTTAAAAAAAGGAACCCCAAATACACATTTTTCCATGATTTAAATGAAAAACCACTAATAGATGGATAGACAGATAGTGGTGTTTCATTTAAATTTAAAAATTAAGTCATTTTAATTAAGTCAAGTAATTAAGTAAATTAAGTCATTTTAATTAACTAAAAAATTTAAGTAATTAAAAAAAGTTACCTCAAATCCACTTTTTTCCGTGATTTAAATGGAACATCACTAATACATATATAGATATATAGATAGTGGTGTTTCATTTAAATTTAAAAATTAAGTAATTAAATTTAAATAATTAAAAAGGTAACCTCAAATCCACATTTTTCTGTGATTTAAATGAAACTTCAGTCACCAATATAGAGATATATATAGTTAGATAGATAGATACCTATAGCAATATATCCACATTTTTCCTTGATGTAAATGAAACACCATTACTCTATCTATCTAGCTATCTATCTTTATTAAATCACAAAAAAATGTAGATTTGGGGTTACTTTTTTTTAACTGAAAATTGTGGATTTTTTTTAAATTAGAGAAAACCAGGATCCCTGAACATAATGCACACTTTTATCACATGAAAAAGTCATTAGAAGCTTTACTAATAAGCCCGTGGCCTACGGGGATAGTTTTCAATTTAGGATGGCAGCAAAAGCAAATATAAATTCACTGTCTCATATATTATACATCTATAAACACCCCATAAACTAGACAACTATAAAACAGTAAAAATAGGCTGTTTTATCGGTCCTGGGGTCATTATAAATTTTCAGTTTCATAAAATCAAGCCTTGTTGAGCATCTTGACACTGCCTCCAGTACTTCCCTGAATTAATGCCGTGAGCCAGTGTTAAAGAAAGAGGCTGCAGGGTTGTGAAATAGGAGAGACATGACCAAGAGCGTTAACAGGCAGCACTGCTGCAGAAGAAAGACCAGCTTATTCAGAGGTGTAGGTTTTAGCCCTGTTTGCTGCTCTAAGGACATAGGCAGACAGGGGTCTTTGAGTAAATCTGATATCTTTTATTAGACCAACTAAATAGTTGGAAACATTTTTCTTAGGAGGCTTTCGGGTTTAAAAACTGACGAGGGGTTTTTAAACCCAAAAGCTTGCTAAGAAAAAAGTTTCCAACTATTTAGTTGGTCTAATAAAAGATACCAGATTCACCCAAAGATCCTTGTCAGCTTATTCAGTGGAACATAAAGACCAATAAAAAGAGGGAGGGTCGTTAACACTGGTGGAATGGAGAGTTTAGAAGGACTGGGTGGAATATAATGAGCCATGAAGTCAATCGACCCCTTCCTTGCTGCTCAACAGATATGTTGCTGCCACCTGTGAGCAGTTTTCAACGTTGGGTGGAGCAGAAATCAAAGCGGGGTGCAAATGCACCAGTGTATCCCACCCCCATCCCCTGCTGGTCCTTTTTTCCTATGAATCAAGAGGCAGCCAGAATTGGAAGGTCCCTGTATCCAGAAACAGCTTTCCCCTGCTTTAGGGTTCGCATCTGAGCAGCTTAGAGAAGAGAGTCCATGTGGGAATGACACAAACCCACCCAGACTTGGCACAACCCATGCTATGGTATGGGCACACTGCCAGGACTTTGGCACCAGATCATAGTTGCCTTAAATAAAGAACTGAGCCAAGTTTCACCAGCTGCTCTAAGCAGACTGTATGCCACCTGATCTAGGCCCCGGTCTTCCACAAGCTCTGCCTGGTTAATTCCACTCTTGTAGCACCAGCTTGAAAACAACCCGAAATTTTGATTCAACCCTATGCATCTTTCATACATGTGTCTTCATGTTACAATTAAAGTAGGCAAACAGTTCATGGTCACTAATGAGGTGAATCTCTGGGATACACGTTGATGATTACCTGTGCTCGAGAAACAAGGTTCTTGACAAAAATGGCAATATTTTCTCATAGGAACTTGGCTTTCAACATCAGCTTTTTATAGGATGGGAGGGGGAATTGGAGGTACAGTATGAAATAACAAAACATAGTATCCTAGGTGTGGTTGTAGAATAAAGGAGTGACAACACCTCTTGGTCCTAGTGAATGATCATATTTTTTGTAATGATCTTAAATCTTTTTTGCTTCCTTGACACAAAAAGGCTCTCGTTGTTTTCAACAAATGCAGCCAGATCCTCACTAGAGATAAATTTGGGTCACATAAGGTGCTAAGCATGGGCACTATTATGGAAGCTGGTGAGTGCTGGAAACTACTGGACTCTATCTTGAAGAATTAGGTCCATAAAGTTTGTTTTGGGGGATGCCTGTGAAAGGGGAGTGTACAGAGCATGGAGCATTTCTGTAAAGAGGTCTAGCTGTTTGGCTTCATACCTCTAACAACTTTATATCTTTTTTTTAAGCCCTGTGGGTATGTTGTTTTTGCCTTTGTTTCACTACCATGACTTCCAGCCAATTTTACCAAGAAATGGCTGACTTTGTTTTAGGTATATTGTTCTATATTATGGCTTCCTTTCATATCACAGCAATATGCAAAATTTCTTTTCCAGTTTCCTTCCTTCTTTTCCTGCTTCTTTCCCCTGTCTTTATTCATTTGCTTCTGTGAATCCTAGCTTTCCATTTACCTAATCAGTTAATGTGAGTTATTTAAAGAGTCACTACATGGGTTCATAACCTAATACAGAGGATGATGATCTGGACCTGCTCAGAAGAAATGATGCTGTGGTGGCTTGTTTTAACATAACATACAAATGCATTAATGTAGCTAAGAATAGGATCTTAGACATCAGTCAAGAAAGGCACATTCCCTTCATGAACTACATGGGATTAAAGCAAACACTGACCATATTTTATATTCAAAGTATTCCTTCAAATTACTTTTTTAAAAAATCCAATGTCATATAAGCATGTGTGAGTACTTGGTAAAAGTTAATGATATTATAAAGCATAGAAATATCTCATGCAGTTTTATATTGATAGTATCTTTCATGCAACTTGCATACTGATCCAAATTAGTCAGTGATCCAAATTAATAACAAAGGGGAAAGGAAACAAAACATCTACCAGTGAAAAAAAACATGTTTTCAGGTGAGAGATCAAAACATGTGGAGTAGATGGGATGAAGAGATACAAGGAGAAAGAAATAATAAATCCAAATAAGTAAATAATATGACTTTCCAGAGAAAAGCTCTCATGCAATAAATGGCAGAAAGAGGTAACAGTGGGATGGGATGACCAGAGGCAGGAGGAGGAGGAACAGAGCAGAAGAAAATAGTCCTTCATACTTCTGGAGCAAGTGTGAGGAAGCTTTAAAAAAATCAGTGTCAATTGGAAGAGGAAGATTGGACTATCAGTTTCTTCCTCCCAGCTAACCAAGAAACAGAAAGCTCAACTCTTCTTCCTGTCTGGCCAGAAATAGTTTTTGGTTGCCAGGGCATTAAAACAGAGACCACTGCTACAACGTAACATAATGGCAAACACTTCGGAGGCCTAATAGTGTCAAGCCCTTTCTGGGGGGGATTGTAACTTTCAACACTTACTGCAGGAGGCTGTTATGGTGGTAACTCTTTTAGCTTGTCACGCTAATAAAATCATTGAACTGAATTGCAACTGACTACTCTAGTAAAATGAGAGCACTAGAAAACAAAATTATCTCTGTCTCACACACGAACAGGTCTGATATCCCATCCTGCAAGGGGCATGCAAACAGATATGTAGACAAAAAGACAAGCCTATTAGGTGGTTATATAATAAATGAACTTATCTCAACCAGAGTTCAGGAACAGTGATGATGTATAGTTATTTGCAAAACTCCAAATTTTCCTTCTGGTTATTCAGTTTCTTGGCATTTGGCTAATCGTGGGAGCCTGTTACAGTATGTAAATCTCCAGTGTCTGGCAGTTAGACTGTCAGAGGGCAGCAATTTGCAAATCAGTTCAGTTATTCTTAGTAACCATACGGTCAGGCAAATCTCTTATTAGTTAATATAACTTTTCTGTACTGATGGGTACCTATATTCATAATTTCTTCTTGTTTGCCAGCAACAAAGACTCCACATCAGCTTCTGAGACTCCCTTAGCTGAAGAGGAAAACTAGAATTTATACAAACACAGTATCTCCCACACCAAAAATCAGGGGAACTCCAGGGAGGTCAAAGTGGGGAAAGAGATTTTTTAATTGACAGGAGCGGGGAAAGACGTTGTTTAATTGAAAAGTTTTAATGAATAACTAATTTTCCTTGTTCCTTCTCCCACCGACCTTCAGAGAATCAATCATATGCTTGTGTTTCCATTGTCCAGTTATCCGGGTATATTGCAGCTATTCTGGGAAAGGACCTGTGCCTGATGATAAGCACTTGAATAGTCCTCATAAATGTGTGCTTAAATGCTGTTATGGGTCAGGGCCATTGTAGGAAAGTAGCAAGTGAAGAAAGGAACTCAGCAGAAGAAAGAATAAACTACGTGGGGGTAGGGAGGAAAAAGCAAATGAACTTTTTAATTTATATGTAATCAGTTTACTGGTTAGATTTAGCCAGCCCATTGTAGTCTTTATAATTTTTCTCTTCTCTGTCATACATTCATAGATTGTTAGGGGCT